AGTAAAATAAATTGTATATTTTTTTTATGAATTAATTTAATTTTTAGTTAATATTTGGAAGAGAGATTTTTGGAAATTTGTCTTGATAGAGAGATTTTTTAGAATTTGATTTGATTTAAACTAATGGTATTTTGGCCACAATAAATATTATTAATTTGTTAAAACATAGAAATTTTGACTTGGATCTACACACATACAGTTAAACCTCTATAAATTAATACAGTTGGGACCATCAAAATTTCATTAATTTAGCGAAATATTAACTTATCGATAAATTAATAATTATTAATTTATACATTAATTAATAACCTATTAATTTATGAAATTACTTTTATTATTATTTCCAAAAAAATGTTTTTTTTTTAAATTACGTGTATATTATTCATTGTATCATTAGTTTAATGCACTGTAGAGTCAGTTTCACAAACGGAAGCTCTTAAAGAAGCAATGGTATAGAACGAATTATGTTGAAGTATGAGAAAATCATACCGAAAGTTCTAACTATGTTAAAAAAGCGAGGGACGAGATTGATGGAAATGGGAACTTCAACAAGAAACAAACGAGATTTAAATTATATTGTATTAAGCCTTCATAGATCTATAAAATATGTCATGTCCCATGTAATTCAAGAATTATTTTTATGCATTATTAATTTATATATTACATGGGGCTTCTTAAAAATTTCAAATGTGTATTATCTTATAAATTTAGCGAATTATTAATTTAGCACATTATCCCTGAGTCGGGACCGGGAAAATTTATTATTTAAGCGAGGTTATTAATTTATCAGGTATTAATTTATCGAGGTTCTACTGTATATTATAATATAGAGGGGCCTATAGCAAATTGCCCCATATTTTTATTTATTAAACTTCTATAATAAATAAATAAATAATCAAGAATATGAAATAAGAATTATAAAATATAAATAGTACGTAGAGGTTTATAAATTTGTGTTTCAAATTTTTGAGTTTTGACCTTTTTATATATTATTTCAAAATTAAGAAAATAAGAACTACAACTAAATATAATAAATTATTATTATTAAAAAAGTTGGTTGGCCGGTGTTACCGATCGACCAATTTTGAAGTAAACTGAAAACACCAACTAACCCTTTTATATATTGGTCGGTTAAAATTACCGGCCCGACAACAAAATTATCGACCGATAAAAGCGGGTCGAAAGTGAGTCGGTTAGCTATCCAGTCCTACTTATACATATATGAGTTCATTCCTCACTTAGAGGTATGTAATTAGGGTAAAAAACACTAGTAAGCAGGGTTAATAAAACCGTGAGTTTTGTACTACATTTGTTTCAAAATAAGTGTCACGCTAACTTTTTAATTGGGCTATTAATTATATTGGAGTTAGCTATTTCTGATAAAAAAAAAAAAGGGGGAGATCATGATACCTATTCCAGCAGTGGTTCAAGTGCTGAATTTTAAAATCTTACTATCTTTTTGTACAATATCTTATTGTCTTTTATTTTGAACTTTTGAAAAAAAGTTATGTTTTAGTGAATTTCTCTGCACTTGTTTTTTATGGATGTATTACGGATTCCAACGGTGGTTCAAGTGCTGAATTTTAAAATTCTAGTATCTTTTTGTTTCTTATTGTCTGTTATTTTGAACTTTTGAAAGAGTTTTGTTTTAGTGCATTTCACTGCACTTGTTTTAGTAAGATGTATTAATTACTTGTTGGACTGTTGTACTTGCATTTGTTTTGAACTCCTTATGTGCTTAATTAAAGTACTCCTCTTTATCTGTAATATATGTTTGTTTTAAACATATTGTGTCTGATATGTTGTTCAGAGGGGAGTTTGAAGAGTTGAAGTGTTTAATGCAGGGAAGGTCAAATTATTTCATGCAGGTGGAGTTGCTTACAATCGCCCTTTTGCCATCCAATCGTTTGTGAGATGGCGGTGATGGCGGTCGAGAAGGAACTAGTTAGAGCCACGGAGCCGCCTCTGCAGCAGCGGCCCGATTCATTATGTTTACGTCAAACAAGGTAAAGAAGCCGTGGCACCCGCTCTCCTATCCGAACCAGCGCCGCAAGTGGATCGCCGAGCAGACCTACACCTAGAAGTTGCGCTCGCCGAAGAGGTTGCTCGCGAGGTGCGTCTATGTTTCAATTGGGTGTTTCAATCCGATGTTGTACTCTTGGAAGTTGGGTGTTTTTGACCTTAATGTATAATTGTTGGATATTGAGCTCTATTTTTCTTCGGAAGTACCTTTTTCATAATGATTTTGTTTAGTGTTTGTGTTCTGTGAATCCATTGGCTTAGATTATTGCAGTGGTAGGTGTTCCTTTATCGTGTTTTGCTTCCTTCCTTCCATAGAAAAGCATTCGTATTTCAAATTTTTTTTTTAATTCCATACATATATGTCTCTCCTCATGTAAATGTGGGGTAAAATTCATTTTAGTCCCTGAGCTTTGCAGCCAAAATCAAATTCATCCCTGTGTTTTTAATTTTGTTTAATGTCATCCTTATAACTCAGTTTCACTGCCAAAATCAATCATTTTTTCATAAAATGCCCAAATTGCCCCTCGAAAACCTGGGAGACTAAAATGAAATTCAGCCCTAATGCTCTTTTTTGCTGAACACCACAAAATAAAATTATATTTAATAACATTTCAAGATCTCAAAACTTATTTTCTCTCATTAATTCAAACAATATCTAAAATACACACAAATCTTATTTTATTTTTCAAATTCTTGTTGCAAATTATTTTTTAATTTCAAATCTTTAAACATAAATTAACTACTAAAGTACAAGTTATTTCTTCTTAAAATACAAATTAAAATATATTATTTAAAGATTATTCCACTAAAACATTTTTCAAAAATAAATAACATCGTAGACTTAAATATTAAAAAACATTGTCGCTTTAAAAAAAAACATGTTTTAGTAACATTGCATTCTCGGCGTTCGAATTACCACGTTAGACTATAACAACATTAGTATGATTCCATATGTTGTAACAATTAATTTCATAAGCAGGGGCGGAACCAGGATCAAAATGTAGGGGGGCTAATTAAGATTTCGAGGTTCGGAGCAGCATCTCAAAAAAAAATTAGATTCACAAGACATAGCAAAAATAAGTTTATATTGATAAATTTTAATTAAAATAGCATATATATTATAGTTTTATCATATTTTAAGTATGCCAAAAAAAATTTAATTTATTGCACTTAAAATATTTTGAAAATTAATGGCATCGTCACATATTAGTTTGAAGAGACATCGATAAAAAAATTAAAAAATAAGTAAATATTCATAAATATTATATTAAAAATACAAATTTTAACCATTTTGTTAAATATTTTTATATTAAATATGATATATACAAGTATAATTTATATAAGACTGTGAAGAAGAAACAAATTAAGGGTTAAGACACATATTTGCAAAAACCTCGGGGGGTCAAAAGTAATAATAAAAAATACAATGCCATAATACCTAAAAAAATGTGGTTTGGGAAAAAAAAATTTACACGAGAAATTTACAAAACCAAAAAAATATTATCAATTTCCAACAAAAAAATATCAGCAACAAATTTGACATGAAAAGAAATAGAGTTAATTTGGTAACATACATTTATACATAATTATTTGTTGATTTGTTTCCCATAAGTTCTAGTAAATATTATTAAATAGAATTTTAGTTCAATATATTTTGTAGAGAAAAAAGTGGCATTCTGGGCGGAGTTTCATTTAAGTCCCCAGGTTTTAAAAGGGTAATATGGGTATTTTGGGAGAAAAAATGAATTTTAGCAGTAAAATTATATTTCAGGGATGACATTGAATCCAATTAAAACCACGGGGATGAATTTAATTTTGATTGCAAATGTGAGGGACTAAAATGAATTTTACCCTGTAAATGTGTGTGTGCTGCTTGTGGCTGCGCTTTCATGTGCTTGACAATGGTATCACTTTATACAGAAACTTTAATTCAAATATTCCTTTTTTATAATGTGTTCCTCGTATAGGCCTATTTTCATTTGTTTTGCAATTGATTTATTTTTTACATTAATTCTTGTTCTAACATTGTTGTCTCGATTCAATTATATCAAAAAATTGTGTCGTGTTGAAGAGGTGGTGGACGAATGTGAATTGAAGAAGATGGTGTTTTTGTAGTTTGTATTCGCTCGAATTTATAGTAGCTTTACTGGAATTGGGGGTATTTTTTTATAGTTGATTTTAACAATTTATAGTCGATTTCGATATTGTTTTAGTTGATTTCTATAATTTTGTAGTTGTTTTCGATTTTTTGTAGTTGATTTCAACAATTTTATAGTTCATTTTAATTTTTTATAGTTGATGTTGTTAATTTATAGTTGATTTTATTTTTTCGGCAAACCTGCTATTAAAAACCACTATTTTTTAGTGGTTTTACAGTTTTATTATAGTTGATTCTCGGAAAAAAAATAGTCGATTTCAATATTTTGTAGCTGATTATGGAAAGAGGCCAAAAGAAAAAAAAAAAAAAAGAACCTGAGAATAAATAAAAAGAAGAGCTAGAAAGAATGAAATAAAAAAAATAGTTGATTTGGGAAATATTATTGTTGATTTTGGAAATTTCGATTATGAAAAGTACAATTGCGAACAAAAAAAAAAATTGAGAAAAAATATTTATTGTAAAAATATTAAAAACAAAATTCTTTGATTTATTTAAAATAAATAAATACGAAAAGTAAAATTATATCTAAAAAATGAAAATGGTACCAAAATAGTAGATAATGTGTAGTGAATAGTGAAAGAGTATATTTTGAAGAAAGGAAAAATTAGATCTACCACTAATAAATGAAAAGAGGTTGGACCCATCCTTATTAAAAAAAATGCTAGAGGCGATTCTCACTAATAGTCCATTTAGTCAAAATGATAAGTATCAATTTAAGTTTAGTTTAATCTACAACTTATTATAGTAAATAACTATTAATTTCAAATTTTTGGCACCAGTATATAAAATAGAAAGATCATATAAAATTTTACCATCAAGCATGGCACCTATCTCTTGTTTAGTTTTAATTGCATTCTTGTTGATTTTGGTAGAAACATCTGCTGCTGCTGGTGTGTCAGTTTGGCCGATCTGGGACCTGAAAGGCACAATAGTGGTACTTGTCGCAAAATTTGCAGTGGCGCAACATAATAAGGAGGCTAATACAACCTTGCTCTTTGTAAATGTGGTCGATGGAACTTACGTAGTGATGAAAGAGAAATGCACTTATAGATTTCGTTTAGTAATCTCAGCTAAAGATAACAGTATTGCCCATCCCAAAAACTATAGTGCATCTGTTTTTTACAGGCCAATATTGAAAAATAATTCCATGGAACTCAGTCACTTCTTGATGGACGACGGTAAATTTTAAATTCAAGTTATTTTATATCTATCTATATCGGTTGTCTGATAAGATACATATGTTACGTAAAATGAGTTGCTAGTTTGTAGATTAATTAAAATATGGACGTTTATTCTGTTAATTTTGATAATATTAGGGCTGTAGAATAAATTTTCATTTCGTATTTGACTTTATTATTATTTAACTTATTTAACTAATAATTCAGTGTTTATTATTGTAATTAGAATTTTAATGAGTTTGCCGATACTATACTAGGGGTTGTCTAGGGTCCGAGAGGGCCGTACTTCTCGGACCGTAATCTACCAATGAGAATGCGCCACGTATGATTAATACGTACCCATAAAAAAAGTACGATACCTATGTTATTATTAATTACATAAAACCCCTTCTTAATTAAACTTAAAAATATAATTAAAAAATCAATAATTTAAAAACGTAATTAAAGAATCTAATCATTCTTTCACAATCTTTTACCCTAATCTCCCTCTTCGTTTTTTTCAAAATCATCATCATCGTCATCGATCTTTCCTCCTCTAAGAACAAAATGATCCTCTCTCATCACCCAAGGTACAATCTTTTTCTTCTCTGTGGAAAAAGGAAAACAAGAAACTAAAGGAGTAGGGTTTTGATTTGTCGTTTTGATTATCTAATTCAAAAATTGCACAATTATATAAAGAGTAGAGTTCTTTTCTAATTGTGTTTCGTCTAATTATTGCGTGTAGTGAAACAAAATTATATGTTTTATCAAAAGAATCTCAATGAATCAAATATATATAATTGAATATATTTGTTTCTACCACATGTATGTTTGTTTTGTTTTTACCAGATGTATGTTCTTAAAAGTAAAATATAATCGTCGTTTTCGTTCCAATTTCCACCACTAGTTTGTCACACAAGTTGTACTTGTGTAATTTAAGAATTATTTTTATCAAAAAATTAATAAATTGTATTGACGTTTTATATTTGTTCGAATAATTGATTCTCAATTGGTTGTTCGTGCTTTGCAAGGAGAGCAAAAACTCTACTGGAATTTGGAATATGCTAGGCGAGATTTTAAGGACTTAATGCACAAGACGTTTGGTCTTCATTATGTTTTCGGGAGCAAAACATGGTGGCCGATTGCCTAGCGGATTATGCTCATAATCACATTCATCATCAAGTTTTTTTTTTTTTCAGCAAAATGATCTCCCTGCATCAGTCTTACAACAGAGACTCATTTGGCACATGGTCTTTTCACCCGTAGGCAGCGTTTTCGTATGAGGATCTCTATTCTTTGCAAAGAATATTTTTTGAAGATCGTGTTGGTTTGATTCAATTTCAGTTTTGTTGGAAGATTGAGGAAGTATCAAGACAAGTATCGGTTTTGGGCTCCCCAGTTTTTTGTCGAAGATGGGTTTTCTCATATCCAGAATCCAGCCCCTTCTGGGGGCAAATTTGCTATTCCAGGAATTCTAGTCTTAATAGGAAATCTTTTTTTATTAAATTTCTTACCCTCTTTTGGGGTTTTCTTTGTAATGAGTTTCGGTGGATAATAGAGAAAAAAAAAATTATTTGTGATGAATACTCGTTGATGTAACTAATTCCCGAGCCAATTTTAATTTTCACTATTTCCCATTATTTTCTAAAAGGCGTTGTTATCTGAGAGTGTACACTGTCGCCTATGTCTATAGCATCGAGTGCAGTACAAGCTAGTAATAAAGTAACAAATGTGGATTGCATATGTCTTAATACATCAAAGGCGTTGTTAGGTTGCGTACTTTGAGCATAAACTGCAACCATCAGACTCATTGCAATTAGATCTTTTTGTTTAAGATGATAAAAAAGATATTCCTAGCCGACTCAATATCACCAAAATTTCGCATACAATTGAAGAAGCTCAGTCATCATAGTAACAAATGCAGTAAATCCCATTTCAAGTACAACACTGTGAAATCCATGCCTGATATAATTCTCATCCAATTGTAAATACGCTCCGATTACTTGTTGCATGTCTAATATTTTTTTCACTGTAAGCTCGCAACTCGAAAAAGATTTTCAATGTTTTCTTTGGCCTATTATTTACGACACAACCATGTATCATGATCCTCCGAGAAACCATATCTTTGTTCGGCATATGCTTGAAAACCCGAAGTGCTGCCTCTAGATCCCTGCATTTGGAATTCATATAGAGAAGTGAATTCCACAAAATGGTACGACAATAAATTGATATTTTGATAGAATAACCACTAAGCATCATTTTATTAACTAATTTTAAGGTTTCAAAATATTCCTTATTGCTCCTCACACATGCAGAAACCATTACACTGCACAAAACCACATCTTCATTACGTGTCCGATGAAATAATTTCCATGCAGTCCTCATATCCCAACACGAGTAAATACCAACAAGTGCAGTCACTATGGTCACCTGTGAATCAATTAACCCCATCTTTATAGAATATCCATGAATCCCACATGCCAAATCTTTCGAGCCTATTGAACCGACAACCTTTATCACACTTAAGACAGTTACAAAATTTTGGTCTTTCTACTGAGACGAGCATCGCTTTGAATAAACCTATGGCCTCCTCAGACGTGGTTTCCCTGACCAAACTGAATATTCTAAACGACCATGATCTTGGAATATCCTTATGTTTGAAATATTCTACAGGGTCTACCACATTCAAAGAAATGTGGGCTTTGCCGTTTGGTGAGGCCTGATGAGCTGTGTGTCTCTTGGTAACCTTATCGAACAGTTTGTGGTCACAAATTCCAGCGTTAACCACATCGCTCTATGAGGCATTTACTCGAACACTTTGGCTGCCTATATTTCACCTTCCTCAACACACTTTTCAGAATTCAACCCTTTCCCATGGTTCCTCAAACCTCAGCTTCGATTTACAAAATCGCAAGAACAACGATTTCGGGTTCATGACCTCTAAAATACCCCATATTTCCCGACGGCCATCAGAAAAGATTGAAAGGGTTCAAGACAATATTGAATATTTCCATATGATCTCAGTTGTAAAAAGAACGAGAAGATGAAGCAGCCCGAAGACTCCGCAGATTTTTGATTTTTGATTTTGGGAAGAACATTTGATTTAATCGTGTATTATATGTTAATTGATCTGATTATTATAATAGTTTTTTTTGGTGGAAATTTAATTCATTGGTTTAAAAATTTAAGGTTAATTAAGTAATTTTAGCAAAGTACGATGTGTGTATGATGGGGTACGATGTGTTTTTACTATGTTCGTACCAAATACTAGTATCGTACTAATTCGTATTGGGTCGTACTATAAAATTAATGGATGAGATTGAGAGTTAATTACTTTATACGCTCCAGATTAAATATTTTACGGTCCGAGAAGTACAACACTCTCGGACCCTAGATTAAAATATGGACGTTTATTCTGTTAATTTTGATAATATTAGGGCTGTAGAATAAATTTTCATTTCGTATTTGACTTTATTATTATTTAACTTATTTAACTAATAATTCAGTGTTTATTATTGTAATTAGAATTTTAATGAGTTTGCCGATACTATACTATCCTAATGCATGTCAATTACTGTATATAGTAGCTGACATATTTACAATAAATAATTACAAGTTTTTAATTTTGTCATTAATATACAATAAAATGGTCATAAAGAGTATTGACCAATAAAATAATGCCTATATCACACTCATTTTCATTTGTATACATTTTTTTTTCTCCTTTTTTTTTTTGTTATTATTCTAAATAAAACAGATTATATGGTTGGTGGTGTATGGCCGATCAAGGACTTGAAAGATCCCAAAGTGGTGTCGATCGCCAAATTTGCAGTGAAAGAGTATAATAAGCAGACAAATACAACCTTACACTTCGTAGATGTCATCAAGGGAAAAGAGCATTTGGTTGGAGGCGTTATATACCATCTAGTGATCTCAGCTAAAGATAGCAACGTTGCTTACCCCGTAAAGTATGAAACAACGGTTTTTGAACCAGTGCTTAAATTTGAAGACTTGATACTCGAATCCTTTAAAAGATTATCAAGGTCAGTTTGGATTTGTAGATAATTAATAGTATCTTCTTATTATTAATACATATATCTACATTGGAAAACATGACTATATATCTTTGTAGAAGAAAATTAATTTTTAAGGTTTACGATTTCTGATAATAACAATGAACTAGCGCGTTCAATGCACATGACTAAAATATTATTTACTTGAATCTTAACAAAGATAGTCGTCATTTGAGGAAATAATTTAATTATAATTAGTAGGGTAGACTACAAATTCCTGGAATAATGTCAAATTACAAAAAAATCCTCATTTTTTAGAAATTACATCTAAGCCCCTAAAGTTAACGATCAATTAGAAACCCCAATGGTAAACTAAACTCCCAAAATTACCCTTATATAAAAAATAGTGCTTAAATTTGTACTATGGATTTACTCTTCCCATTACGTGAATCAACAGAATAGTTCGACGCGTTTTTTTTCCATTACATTTCTCGAATTCAGTCTTTACACATTTAGGGGGCTTTAAGATACATGTTGCTCGTGATAAAACTTATTAGAACTAAATGACAAACTCAACTAATTTGTTTCACATCCGTTATTAAATTCATTCCAAAATTGCCTTTTGCACACAAAAAATGAAATTTACACCAAATAATATTATTCAAACTACAGTTATCATTTTTTATTCTACATTTTATATATTCATTTTTGCATCTGTCATTGTCATTTTTGTTATTGTTTATTTATTTTTTTCGTAGAACATGATTCTTTTTCTTTTTGTAATTTTATTATATTTCTCACTATTATAAAAATCCACTTTCCTCCTTTCTCTACATCATATTGAAAATTGTTGATTTTTTTTTTCCATAGGAACCCATAGTAATCTATAGTTATTCGTTTTTACACAATTCGAAAACCCTAACTTCTTCTTTGAACCCTAGTAGCGAGCCAACTGTTGACACTCACAGTAATCCATAGTAACCCATAGTCACCTCATAGTCATCCACGTTTATCCAAAAATACCATAGTTGTCGCCACCGCCATAGTCATTGCTTCCCATATCGCCATAACCACCCCCACCATAACCACTCCCCCGACCCCCTTCATAACCACCCACAACCTCCAACCTCTATAGCGCGGGCTCGATAACAACCTCCACTATATCCCACCGCCTCCACAACCACCTCCATAACCACCCCTACCATCGCCACCGCCATAACCACCCACCATAACTAGAAGCAAGAAATCAAGATATCTATATCTCTCTCTCTCTCTCTCTATATATATATATATATATATATATATATATATATATATATATATATATATATATATATAGCAGCTCTTTCGCGGGTTTTTGTTGTTGCTTGTCCTTTTCCGCCATTTGAATTCAAGCGTCATTTTCGATATCTCCACACGTGTTCGCGACTGAAATGCGGTTATTTTTGTGAATTCACCCTTTTTATATTTTGTTTATTTCAAATATTTCTTAGAAATTTAACCACCTTATGTTTCACGCATCCCCACTATATATATATATATATATATATATATATGGCAGCTCTTTCGCGGGTTTTTGTTGTTGCTTGTCCTTTTCCGCCATTTGAGTTCAAGCGTAGTTTTCGATATCTCCACACGTGTTCGCGACTGAAATGCGGTTATTTTTGTGAATTCACCCTTTTTATATTTTGTTTATTTCAAATATTTGTTAGAAATTTAACCACCTTATGTTTCAATATATATA